CCGCGTACGTTAGATGATGCAGTAACAATTATTCGAGCTACAATTAATTAGCAATAAGACTTACAGTTGATGACACTGCCGTCATACTCAGGGAAAACGCGTGCTAGGAAAGCCGAAACCGACGGGCACCCAACGAATTCGATTGATGGACATAAAATGGTTACGTTGACGACTGTATGAAATCCGGCTGTGCATCATGCACACTGACTGTGGTAATGGTAACGGCTGTTGAATGCGTCATTCCTCTATTGCAAGTACCTTACTCTCATCAATACGTGGTAGGGTGGATAGAGCGTCTCCCTGGATACATAAGTCATAACTCACTGATGCCGAGTCAAGATAGTATATTGACAGCCGTCCGTCTGACAGAGACCTTAAGAGATATGTACATGATTCCTTGTCCAGTTCTAGAAAAGCAAATTACGACATTACATTAAATGTATTATATTATACTAGAACCTAATCTATAAGTGTAAATTTACCTTAGTTTAGAACAGCTCTTTCTTGATTTCGTTGTGGCTCAAATGATCTATTTCTTGAAACAGGCAGATATGAAGGTATTGCAAGTAAACATAAACTTTGTTGGATTTGTAAAACTGATTGTATTGAAGATGAATATCACTTTTTATGTGTATGTCCAGTGTATAATGATTTAAGAGCAACATATCTAACTATTTCTATCACAACTCACACGGTAACAAATTTTGTAAATTAATGACATGTGACAGAAACTATGATAAATTTATCAATATTCATTTATCATGCCATGTAATTAAGAAAATGTATGAATTTGTAACACGCCCCAGACAATGTACTATAAGCCTTTGGCCTGATCAGTACCATGAATAAAGGTTGATTGACAGCCATCCGCACTTTTGTACTAACGTCTAGAAGAGGTACATTTGATATGTATTTAAGTAGTTGCTGTAGGACAACACAAGTCTACACTGTGTATCGGATCAGTCTTAGAGTGGGTCACGGGAAGGTCGACGGTACCCAGGAACGTCAACCTCCATACAATCATATCACAGAAATTAAGAGCATTTTTATGATGTCAAATTTATTTGACGTGTATGGTATGTTTCAAGTGACTGGACACGAACAGTTTAAAAAGGGTAATAAAGTAAACATGTTTTCTAACTTCTAAATCAGGTCCACGTGGTGGTCGATATCATGAACAACTGACACTTTACGTCACAGGTTCGAATCCCAGGTTCAGCACCAACCCGTTGTCGTGGGTTTCACGAAGACTAAAACCTTTATCACTTCGGGTTATTTTCCACAACAAATTACCACGCCGTGACATAGCGAAATACTGTTCAAAACGGCCTACAACCAAACTCACTCACTAACTCTGACAGAAGCCAGGAAATACCTTACTGTGATTTAGCTCCATACCACAAGATAGGATGGGTTCATATTTCAGACTTTGTACATCACCAGTGAGTTCTTTGCTAAAGGCGGTATAATAAGCCTCCGTGCATTTGAAATACACTACCGGGCAAAAGAAAGCATACATTCATGTCTGATGGTGGCTAAAAATGAAACAAACATGAAATGGTAATACGATGATGATGTGTTTGATACGGGCATCTCAGTTGTGTTTGGGGACTTGAGTTTGAGTTTGCTATTTTCAACCTAGTACATTTAGATGATGTTTGTAATTGTTTGGTCATATCAAATTTTCAAGTGTATACTTTCGTTTGCCCAGCCGTTTACATTGATAGCACAATCAACACCAATTTCTTCGAATTTACCAAATTCATTTCAATAACCACGTAGACCTGTTGATATATAACATGTACATGCACGTTTTATCATTTCACTCAAACGAAAAATTTACAGGCTTTAAAGTACACAAGAATTAAAACACCAGTAACAAATGAATTATGCATTCTGACAAATCTGTAGCCATCACCGAATCATGTCAAATAATAGGTGAATGTACATTATAAAGCTCGTTATATAAGCAACACTCCGTATATCGTGGCGACGTGGAGAGTTTGTATCATATATAAATAACCTATGTACACTAAGAGTTTAAAACATATATGTATGTACACGCGTGTTTGTAACATGAAAACGCAGGAGAGCCACAGTGCCCTGCGGTGCTTTCAAAATGTTTATCCGCAGCTTCAAATAAAGCTGAGGAATTATATTACATGCATATTACATCTATTAACATCAAGTGATATATAAAAGCATATAATTGTGTTGTGTTTAGTACAATATCATAACAATCACATCTTAGTTCTCGCTACTGTTAAAGAAAGATCCAACAATGGTCACGCCTTTTTCAGCCTAGTAACGTTTTGCTGACGTTTGTAATATTTTCACATCCAATTTTCAGGTTATACTTTCGTTTGCCCGGCAGTGTATATGAGAACCATTTTGTGACTAAACCTTCTGCAAATATATTGTTTATATTTCTTCCGTTGTTTGTACTGAGTTGTGCTAAAAGAAACAACCTTCTGTCCTAAAATTTCGATTTGCCGCCTCGTCTCTCCCAGTGGTAGATACATCTGCACGTGCAGCCTGTTAAGCAACGGTATCTTTCTTGCTCAGTCGAGCATGCTCTTTCTTCCAAGATTTCAAAGAGTGTCATACGACTCTTGCTCAGAAGCTGCTTGATCAAGGTTACAACATTCAAGGTCTCAGTCAAACTTTCAAAAAAGTTTCATGGTAGACATGTGGAGGACATTCCCAAATTTGACGCATCAGTGACAAAAATGATGTCCGATGCAATTCACTGTTTAGACTTGTACCATATGTTCCCATGTTTTTTTCAGGTGAACAATTGACATGCCTTTGCACGTGTTTGTGACGGGAGCCACCGGTGGGCAGGATACGCTCACCTTTTCGCGAACACCTGGTGTCATCACTATGTGACAGTGATACATAAACACAGGATCAGGATGTGGTCGGAATCGTCAATCGACTCTGCTTCATGCAGATATTTCTATTGGATATGGAAAGGGTTTTGTCGCTTTATTGTACAAATGAAACATACATATTTTAACATCAAGACATTAGAGGTACATCTTCCAGTACACCACATCCAGCATTGACAGCCAGATCATAATGATCAGGTCATTTCAGTATCACATGACTGCTTCTTCCACAAGCACAACTTCGGTTGTAACGAAGTGGGACGTAAGGACAAGTCGAACAGAACAAATATTCCGTTAATCGGACAAACGTTGAAATTACAGTAAACTACGGTTATAACGAACTCAAAGGGACCACTAATTTTAGTTCGGTATAACCGTAGTTCGTTATAAACGTAGTTTGCTGTACCATAAAGCGAAACCTCTTTAATCAGGAAGTCCTTTTTTCCGGGCGATTACTGCTTGGAGCATCTACAAGTACATGTTTATTTCACCTTACTTTACAATACAAGTATATGGAGAATCTCATCCAAGTGTCTTTTGATATCAAATATATCTACACGAGTCGACACTTTTATCGACGAGTGTTTACATATTTGATATCAAAGGACACAAGGATGAGATTGTATTTATCATCCAACATCATTCTTCCAACTTTCTCAATTTGCAGGCTCGTCCACGCGATATCTCCTGTGGGAGCCAGTTTTGGATGATAAATGTTTATCTAACCTTACATTAAAATGCAAGCGTCTGATTCGCTGAGGAGCGGGCAGTTATTTTGCATGTAGCCCGCACATGTACCCCGCTGATAAATCAATCGGAACACACCTTAGGTAACTCGCTAATTTCGAAAGAGTATCGTTGAGCTGAAAATGAGCCGATGTCCAGGCGAATGCACTGGGGAAAGAGAAGTAACTCTGTTTAAGCTAGCTGGCAAACTGACTGAAGAAAAGCGTTTTACTCAGTGAGACTTCGGACATATATTACGGGCCTGTATGAATGAATGTCGGCGAGATAAATGCGTTGTCCCTCGGTGCATACGTAGTGGACCTCGCCCGACAAGGTACTGACAGCTTGGGGTACATAGGCTGACACTGAGGGTACATCACACCATGTACCCCTCGGGGTAGGTTGATAACTTATAATACACAAGTGATCAGTGCCCAGTACAGGGGTACATAGGCTCACACACAGGGTACATCACACCATGTACCCCTCGAGGTAGGTTGATAACTTATAATACACAAGTGATCAGTCCCCAGTACAGGGGTACATAGGCTCACACACAGGGTACATCACACCATGTACCCCTCGAGGTAGGTTGATAACTTATAATACACAAGTGATCAGTCCCCAGTACAGGGGCACGGGTGGCCCTGTCGTCTAAGGCTCCATATTATTGAGTGCAGAGTTACGTCCCTTTAGCGTGTCAGAATCCTACCATCATGGTACGAATCCCGATTCGCCCTGATTATGCTTCTAGGTTTGTTTCACCAAAGTGGTAAATGTCGAAAGCCTCCATCACTTCGGTTTTTCCCACATCAAGTTTTGTTTGTTTTGTTTTGTTTGTTATTTAATGCCGCACTCAGCAATATTCCAGCTATATGACGGCGGTCGGTAAATAATCGAGTCTGGATCAGACAATCTAGTGATTGATAACATAAGCATCGTTCCAGGCAATTGGGATCGATGACATGCATCAACCAAGTCATGGCTGACCACCCGAACCCGTTAGTCGCCTCTTACAAGCATGGGTTGCTGAAGATCTATTCTACTCCGGATCTTTCCCCCACATCAAGTGACGCATCGAGGTATAAACAATAAAATATTCACTCATGACCCAATATTGAACTTAACAGTCGGTAAGATTACGCTAATGGTACAGCCTGGATCAAAGAGGTTCGCCGTACACAGTTCTGAGTCTGTGACTATGTCGCAGAATCACATACACAAGCCGTAGCTGAATGATATAACACATTACAGAAACTCCCCTGGAGTTGGGGTTGTTTGGTTGGACTGACAATGCGCCCAGTACTACTGCGACAGGGACACGCGTTCAGACAAAGGTCTTGTACAAATCATAAAAGATGAAGACATTTTAATACACAGGGATGCAGTAATATATTTATGTTTCAAACACCAGCAGCGGAATGCATACTGCACACGTACAGTCGAGTCTTTATGTACAATAAAAGATGGTAGCACTAATCAACACATCAAGCATTTAGTCCCGGCAGTGTCTGTATCAACGGATGTGCCGGGATATGTGTGTGTGTGTGTGTGTGTGTGTGTGTGTGTGTGTGTGTGTGTGTGTGTGTGTGTGTGTGTGTGTGTGTTTCTCCTCATTCAGCATGCTGCAAACAATTAATTTGGTCGTTTAGTTCAACCCGAGGACAAATCATTTTGTGTAGAACAAATTATCTTTATTTATAAAAATTATTTTAAAAAAAACCCACACTGACAACCCCCTCCCAGATTATTTAAATAAACAAGAAATGGTTAGACACACAAACGCCAATCAGCTCCAAACATCATAGTGTTATGTCATTGAGTATTGAGGTGAGGTGAGGTGACAAAGGGTTTAACATCGCACTCAAGATTATTGCACTTATATAGCGACGTGCATGCACGTGTGTTCGTGCGTGCGTGCGTGCGTGCGTGCGTGTGTGTGTGCGTGCGTAGGGGTGTGCGTGTGCGGCTGCTTGTACTAGTCCGGACTAATGCCGAGTTTATAGTGCGAGCCCACTGAGATACCATGCCACAGTTTAACATGAATACTATACTCTGACACACTACTGACTAGTGTATATATTTAGCCCCTCAATACCGAGCGCCACCATGAGGGGTATTTTGACAGTAGGCCTCTGTCGCTGTAGATCCCCGGACAACGAAATGACAATGATCACTTAATACACGTGTGTTACATTCGTGGAACTCTAATTGGCTGAGCTCTAAGACAGAGGACTTGTGACTGAATCGGGAAGAGTTGCGTCATCAATAGAGTAAGGCAAGTTTCAAAATAAAAACATTTGTGCACATAAAACAAATATTGAAATAGGAAATATATTGTGGAAATTAGTGCACACCACCAAATATTGAAGTAGGAAACATATGGTGGAAATTAGTGCACATCGGACAGAAGGGAAGCGACAATGTACAAATTAACGAAATGTAGAACATCCTGTTAAGGCATTGTATTGGTCTTACCGCAATTAAGCCCTCCCCAAAACCAAATATCGTTGCATGGATTTGTTAAAAACAGCAAAAGGTCAAAGCACACATCCATATAATCAATAGAAATACATGTTATTGATGATAACATAAATATGTGTAATTCATAATTACAAATAACACCTAACATGCCGTTGAGACTTTGTTATAACGCCATTTACTTCAAAAGTGATTCGTCATAACGCCGAAATACTTTCAAAGGCGTTAACATGACGTTATTACCATCATTTGATCTGAATCCGCCATGAAGGTAACAAAGGTGAGGTTTTGCAACATCATAGGTTTTGCATTTGTGATTCGGATAAGCGCCACGTTTTTACACACTGGGTTCTTTTAAACGCCATTGGCTTAACATAGGTGACTGTGACACATGCGAGGGATTTCCATAGTACACCACTCAGGGGAGATAACTCGCCCCCTCCAGTTACAACAGTACACCACTCAGGGGAGATAACTCGCCCCCTACAGTTACAATAATACACCACTCAGGGGAGATAACTCACTCACTCCAGTTACAACAGTACACCACTCAGGGGAGATAACTCGCCCCCTCCAGTTACAACAGTACACCACTCAGGGGAGATAACTCGCCCCCTCCAGTTACAACAGTACACCACTCAGGGGAGATAACTCGCCCCCTCCAGTTACAATAATACACCACTCAGGGGAGATAACTCGCCCCCTCCAGTTACAACAGTACACCACTCAGGGGAGATAACTCGCCCCCTACAGTTACAATAATACACCACTCAGGGGAGATAACTCACTCACTCCAGTTACAACAGTACACCACTCAGGGGAGATAACTCGCCCCCTCCAGTTACAACAGTACACCACTCAGGGGAGATAACTCGCCCCCTCCAGTTACAATAATACACCACTCAGGGGAGATAACTCGCCCCCTCCAGTTACAACAGTACACAATTTAGGGGAGATAATTCACCCCCTCCAGTTACAACAGTAAACCACTCAGGGGAGACAACCTACCCCATCCTGTTACAACAAACGTAACTTGAGACGATGTATTTGAGTTGCTGCTGGTTAGACAAAAACAAAATTGTGTTTCAGGTACTCCGACCAACCTCTTACTGTCCAAATGCTGTTTGTTTTATCACACCTTGAAATCCGTCCTGAAAACTATCGGTCACATTCGGAATAAAAATTAGATGGTTTCTCAGAAACTGCCGGGCAAACAACTTATACATCTATGTTTCATAGTGGGTAAACATGGAACAAACAAGGAATGGTTATTCCATGGTGATGTATTTTATACAGGTAGAAACATTGTGTTTTAGGCCTTTAGTTTGCAGAGTATCGGCGACTTTTTCCAGCCTAGTAAAGTCTTGATAACGTTTGTAATAATTTGTCACATCCAAGGTGAATACCTTCTCTTTCTCGACAGTGTCTTAAACTGCAACTGCAAAGTCATTCGTGTAAAACGGTATCAAAACACACACACACCCCTTACCATCCCAAACACACAAACACCCCCCTCCCAAACACACACGTGTACCGACCCAGATCTATGGTGGCCATGTTACCTGAAACACAAGTATGTGTGAGCCTTGTTATCGTACACACACACCTTCCCCTCCCAAATACACACACACAGGTACCGACCCAGATCTTTGGTGGCCATGTTACCTGAAACACAAGTATGTGTTGGCCCTGGTATCGTACACACACACCTTCCCCTCCCAAACACACACGGGTACCTGCCCAGATCTTTGGTGGCCATGTAACCTGAAACACAAGTATGTGTTGGCCTTGGTATAGTACACACACCTTCCCCTCCCAAACACACACAGGTACCTGCCCAGATCTTTGGTGGCCATGTTACCTGAAACACAAGTATGTGTTGGCCTTGGTATCGTACACAATTACAAACTATCCTTGCATGAGTGGATTGAGAGTCACATCGCTTTTATCATTATTCCAGCAGTATCACAGCGGAGGACATCAGAAATGGGCCTCGCGCATTGTGAATGGATACCCGGTAGTATGAGATGGTACTCTTAACCTCCTATCGTCACAGTTTGGGTTGTATACTCCCCAGGAAGCTGAGAATAAGGATGGAGTGCACACTGATCCATAGACCGGAGTAAACTAAATGTAGTGCCTTGACCATTCACTTGAGTGGAATTTGGTGCATAATAAATTGGCTTCTAAAACATGGTTTGGGCTAAACACCATGCACAACACCCGTCCATAAGCCGTCCAATACCCTTGCGTTCACCCTGTCGTCATGATACAGTCTGCTTTACAAGGTGTCCCAAAATCTCATCAGGCTTGATGACCATCAGGTTTCACAGCTTCAATCCTTTCAACAACCATGATTTCCTGCCCATTCGTGTCATTACAGCAGGTTACGGAAAGGGCCGAGTGGTTACGAATGTTGTAACTCGGAGCAGGGCGGAATGATGCGAACATACCCGAGTAGCGAGTAGCGTCCAACAAAGACATACGTTAACGTCATTTTGAATATATACAGTGAAGCGTTGCTGCAGAAATCACTTGTTGATCGAACTACATGCTGTACAAAAGGGATTGATTACAACGTTGACATAAATAAAATACAAATATACATTTGTCATGGCATGGAAATAGTCGATGCCGAGTCAGCACCGAATAGTCTTCAGCAAATCAGGGATCATCCAGTTCTGGCGCATGCACCACGATGTCCATATACCACGTGATAGAATATGCAAAGAGGATGACGTCATGGCTGTGTCTTGGCACACTCAAGTTGTCACTGCTTCCCTCTCCCCTTGAAGCCAGTACGTCGTCACGCTCCCCTTGCCCTGGGAAATAACGAGGTGAGAGTCACGACGATGTTCACAACGACAACACAGACCAATCATATCATAGTAAGATGACATTACAAGCTAAGAGTGAGTGAGCTTAAAGCCACCTTGAACATTAATCCAGTTATATCACGGGTGTCAGTTTGATGTGGGAGGAAAGCCTGAAGTGATGCAGGTCTTTGACGTTTACCACTTTGGTGAAATCAACGAACACGGGTATGGTTCTGACAAACCTAGAAACAATCAGGGCGAACCAGGATTCGAACCTCAAATCATAGGTTTCTAACATGCCAACGGGGTCACCCTCTACTGTTTTGATATAAAATACAGACACTCACTCATACCGCGTCCAGGACTTAACCTTAGAGATATGGCACTCAACAAAAGTTAGGAACAAAAGGCTTCAGCCAATCTGTGATATCAACATAAAACATATATCCTGTGCATATCAGTCTGTTAAATCTACGAAAACCTAATGGTGCCACTTTGGTAACATAACTATATTCTTTTGAAATCGGAATTTCTCAAATATTTGTTTATTTATTGAAAAATTTCAATTTTATTTCTCGTTACTTCGATTAAACGTTCGTAATTTCGATTATTGCATCAAATAAATTTCTATTACATTTTAAAAACTTGAATATTGTAAAAAAATGGAATTAAGAGAAATTTCGGAGTTGTTTGTATACAACACTGAAATAACGAGAAAATAATCAATGTAACGAGAACAAATACTGCGAAATAACGAGAAGAAAAGATTAAATAACTGAAATAGCGAGAAATATTTATCTATAAAGTGCAATTTAAAGATATAAATTATGTTACCAAAGTGGCTTTCCTATACATCAGCCAATCCTGTAGAAATTTTAAAATCTGTTACACCTGTACTCCTTATAAACAAACGCCTACACGACAACATACAACTATTTGTGTATCATAACAGTATCTGTAACACATATACTACCTTCATTTCAACAGCACCACGAAGTTCAAGGTCAAATGTTTGGAACCGGTCAAGCACTTCTTTCGTCTGTGGACTCACGTGTATCCGTAAGGCTACAAATAACACAACATGTAGATTATTAAGTGTAGTCATTAAGGTGAAATGTGGTTCAAGGTCACATTCAAGTTTATTTCATTAACCAGCGATGATCCTGTGTGTGTGGCGGCTTGTGCTACTCTGGCCGTATGCCGTTGTTATAGTGCTAGCCCAGCAAGATACCATGCTGCAGTTTAACATGGATATATAGTGCTAGCCCAGCCAGATACCATGCTGCAGTTTAACATGGATATATAGTGCTAGCACAGCCAGATACCATGCTGCAGTTTAACATGGATATATAGTGCTAGCCCAGCCAGATACCATGCTGCAGTTTAACATGGATATATAGTGCTAGTCCAGCCAGATACCATGCTGCAGTTTAACATGGATATATAGTGCTAGCCCAGCCAGATACCATGCTGCAGTTTAACATGGATACCCCACTTAGACTCACTGTACCCTGAGCTGAAAAGTCCAGACAGGGTAACAACAAGGACCATCACTTTTGGCAAAGTGAGTCACTCACATGTCGGCTTTCTGAATTTCTGAAAATGATGGTGCTTGTTTTAGCCCCTTAATGACGAGCGCCAGACAAGGTAAAATTAAGTACCATCACCTCTGGCAAAGTGAGTCATTCACATGTCGGCTTTCTGAAATGATTCAGTTTCATTCCATCCCCTCTCCATCCTCATGTGTTCTGAATGATAGTTACCAATTTTACGTATGACCTTTCATAATAAGCATTTCCTTTATTTTAAAATAGCTCTATACATCAATTTGAGACCCTTGAAGATCCGGGTAAGAGTATGTCTTCAGCAACCTGCTTGTCGTAAGAGGCAACTAACAGGATCGGGTGGTCAGGCTCGCTGACTTTGTAACATCTGCAGTGACACATTACTGTTAAACAAAGCTAATTCAGTTTGTGAACATGTTCAATTCAGTGATACGTATTTAGGGTTAGTTTTGTCGACAGAATACACACAGATTGAGAAAAGACTACTCCTTGATCAAAATATACATACGTAGACCATTCGACTCCATCCTGGACGCTGTGTTGACGGTATCCCCAAACAGACAGTACCTCGGCATCTTCTGCCCCACCACCCCCGCACACACAGACCCTGTAGAGAGAAAGTAAACATCACACACAGACCCTGTAGGGAGAATTTAAACATCACACACAGACCCTGTAGGGAGAATTTAAACATCACACACAGACCCTGTAGGGAGAATTTAAACATCACACACAGACCCTGTAGAGAGAAATTAAACATCACACACAGACCCTGTAGAGAGAAAATAAACATCACACACAGACCCTGTAGGGAGAATTTAAACATCACACACAGACCCTGTAGAGAAAATTTAAACATCACACACAGAACCTGTAGAGAATATTTAAACATCACACACAGAACCTGTAGAGAGATATTAAACATCACACACCGACCATGAAAGGGGAAATTAAACATTATACTTAGATATTTGAACACATACATATCTGTCCTACCATTTTCTTCTACGAGGACTACTGAGAGACAAACACTACTCACTATTAGAAACACACTGACACATACAGATCGCTGTCCTCCCCAAGACTACTGAGAGACAAACACTACTCACTATTAGAAACACACTGACACACACAGATCGCTGTCCTCCCCAAGACTACTGAGAGACAAACACTACTCACTATTAGAAACACACTGACACACACAGATCGCTGTCCTACCCAAGACTATTGAGAGACAAACACTACCCACTATTAGATACACACTGACACATACAGATCGTTGTCCTACCCAAGACTATTGAGAGACAAACACTACCCACTATTAGAAACACACTGACACACACAGATCGCTGTCCTCCCCAAGACTACTGAGAGACAAACACTACTCACTATTAGAAACACACTGACACACACAGATCGCTGTCCTACCCAAGACTATTGAGAGACAAACACTACCCACTATTAGAAACACACTGACACATACAGATCGTTGTCCTACCCAAGACTATTGAGAGACAAACACTACCCACTATTAGAAACACACTGACACATACAGATCGTTGTCCTACACAAGACTATTGAGAGACAAACACTACTCACTATTAGAAACACACTGACACATACAGATCGCTGTCCTACCCAAGACTATTGAGAGACAAACACTACTCACTATTAGAAACACACTGACACATACAGATCGCTGTCCTACCCAAGACTATTGAGAGACAAACACTACTCACTATTAGAAACACACTGACACATACAGATCGCTGTCCTCCCCAAGACTATTGAGAGACAAACACTACTCACTATTAGAAACACACTGACACATACAGATCGTTGTCCTACCCAAGACTATTGAGAGACAAACACTACTCACTATTAGAAACACACTGACACATACAGATCGCTGTCCTCCCCAAGACTATTGAGAGACAAACACTACTCACTATTAGAAACACACTGACACATACAGATCGCTGTCCTACCCAAGACTATTGAGAGACAAACACTACTCACTATTAGAAACACACTGACACATACAGATCGTTGTCCTACCCAAGACTATTGAGAGACAAACACTACTCACTATTAGAAACACACTGACACATACAGATCGCTGTCCTACCCAAGACTACTGAGAGACAAACACTACTCACTATTAGAAACACACTGACACATACAGATCGTTGTCCTACCCAAGACTATTGAGAGACAAACACTACTCACTATTAGAAACACACTGACACATACAGATCGCTGTCCTCCCCAAGGCTATTGAGAGACAAACACTACTCACTATTAGAAACACACTGACACATACAGATCGCTGTCCTCCCCAAGACTATTGAGAGACAAACACTACTCACTATTAGAAACACACTGACACACACAGATCGCTGTCCTACCCAAGACGTTTGAGAGACAAACACTACTCACTATTAGAAACACACTGACACATACAGATCGCTGTCCTACCCAAAGTATTAACGTTTTCATAGAAGTAAAATAATGAGGTCAGCAAGTTTCAAGTCAAAGTGATAATCATTCAACTCACCTGAATGGATTCCAATCCGCAGTTTAAGTTGCTGTTGCGGCCGATGGCGGATTTTGAAAGACAAGACAGCATTCAGTAAAGACAGGGACATCCGGGCTATTTCCCGCGCGTGCAGTTTCCCGTTTCTCCCAGGCAACCCAGACACCACCATATAGGCATCGCCTATCGTCTCCACCTGGCGGAATACAAGGAAGCAGGTTATGAACGGACAAACTAAAGTTACCTCCGGCAACCCAGACACCACCATATAGGCATCGCCTATCGTCTCCACCTGGCGGAATACAAGGAAGCAGGTTATGAACCAATAAACTAAAGCTACCTCCGGCAACCCAGACACCACCATATAGGCATCGCCTATCGTCTCCAGCTGGCGGAATACAAGGAAGCAGGTTATGAACGAACAAACTAAAGCTACCTCCGGCAACCCAGACACCACCATATAGGCATCGCCTATCGTCTCCACCTGGCGGAATACAAGGAAGCAGGTTATGAACGAACAAACTAAAGCTACCTCAGGCAACCCAGACACCACCATATTGGCATCCCCTATCGTCTACACCTGGCGGAATACAAGGAAGCAGGTTATGAACGAACAAACTAAATCTACCTCCGGCAACCCAGACACCACCATATAGGCATCGCCTATCGTCTCCACCTGGCGGAATACAAGGAAGCAGGTTATGAACGAACAAACTAAAGATACCTCCGGCAACCCAGACACCACCATATAGGCATCGCCTATCGTCTACACCTGGCGGAATACAAGGAAGCAGGTTATGAACGAATAAACTAAATCTACATCCGGCAACCCAGACACCACCATATAGGCATCGCCTATCGTCTCCACCTGGCGGAATACAAGGAAGCAGGTTATGAACGGACAAACTAAAGCTACCTCCGGCAACCCAGACACCACCATATAGGCATCGCCTATCGTCTCCACCTGGCGGAATACAAGGAAGCAGGTCATGAACGAACAAGAAAGAAGTAAGCAAAGCTTACATACCCCCGTTATCCCCGCTGGTCAACAACAAATAGTAAATAGTTTTAACTTCAATGTTTTAAAAACTAAGATTGATTTCCAGTGACAATTGACCCCCCCTAAAATCTCCCATGTTACCAGTGTTCACTTCGAGGAAGTAGATCACCATGAACACCTTTGAATAAAAATTTGATTGAGGAGTTACATAAGAAGAATTATCAAAAGGACCGAAAATTGTTGATATAAAAACACATAATTGGAGATTTATGACTTAAAAAATGGAACAATATCATTTAAGAAAATCAATAAATTAATAATTTCCATCAAGCCTTAACAGATATGGATAAGAATTCATAAATTCAAACTAACACAAAGCACAGATACTTATGATGATCTACAAGTGTGGAAACAATTTTGGAAAATATATTAGCTATACAAAACCAGTCATCAAAATTTCTGAATTCCATCATGTTTCCATGAAAACAGCAAAAGAGAAAACTTTCAGAATCTTATAAAAGATAAAAGACAATCATAGTGGTTAATGTAGCAAGTTTGCTGAAGCTAGGATACATAATATTGTAAACATGGATCGTACAAAAACTCTACCCAAAATTTATGTTTCACCATGATTCCATGGAAACGGCAACAATAAACAATTCAGAATCTTCAAACTTGCAAAAGGCACACATACTCATTGTGGTAAATGTGTGTAAAAAGTTTGGTGAAGCTAGGGTGCATAGTTAAAAGGATATAGGCCATACAAAACACCCACCCTAAAAGTTTAAGTTTCTTAATGTTTCCATGGAAACGGCAAAGATTAAAAAGTTTAGAATCTTCAAACTAGCAAAAGGCACAAGTACTCATTGTGGTAAATGTGTGTAGCAAGTTTGGTGAAGCTAGGGTGCATGGTTAAAAAGTTATGGGCCGTACAAAAGCTCGGACGGAAGGACGGACGGTAGGACGCTATATACCCCCGATTTACTTCGCAAACGGGGGTGTAATAAACTAAAGCTACCTCCAAGACTAAATACACCTGTTAAGTGCACGGGGCTAAAACGGGTCACAACCTCTGTTTAGGTTGACAAAAGTATCAACGATTGAGGCATTGGTGGTGAATTGTGTACCATTGTCGTTAAAATGTGTTTCAGGAGAATTATGCTGATGTGTTTGTATGACCATATAAGGTTCCTTTTTATACCGTTACTTTCTTGATAATTGTTTTTCGCACCTGTTCGTAAGGGTCACAATTATCCGATTTCTAATATTCTTATGATACTTTAAAGATTATATTCCAAATACGTATGATGGTATGTGTTACTGTGAGGCACAGTCTGTTGTTTGTTTGTGTTTGTTTGTTTGTTTGTTTGTGTGTGTGTTGTTTAATGCCGCACTCCGCAATATTCCAGCTACATGACAGCGGTCTGTAAATAACTGAGTCCGGGCCAGACAATTCAGTGATTGACATCACGAGCAACGATCTAGGCAATCGGGATAGGATGACATACATCAACCAAGTCAGCGATCATGACCACCCCATCCGTTAGTCACCTCTTTCAAGCATGGGCTGCTGAAGACCAGTTGTAACCCGGATGTTCATGAGTTGCTGAAGACCAGTTGTAACCCGGATGTTCATGGGTTGCTGAAGACAAGTTGTAACACGGATGTTCATTGGTTACTGAAGACCAGTTGTAACCCGGATGTTCATGGGTTGCTGAAGACCAGTTGTAACACAGATGTTCATGGGTTGCTGAAGACCAGTTGTAACCCGGATGTTCATGGGTTGCTGAAGACCAGTTGTAACCTGGATGTTCATGGGTTGCTGAAGACCAGTTGTAACACGGATGTTCATGGGTTGCTAAAGACCAGTTGTAACCCGGATGTTCATGGGTTGCTGAAGACCAGTTGTAACACGGATGTTCATGGGTTGCTGAAGACCAGTTGTAACCCGGATGTTCATGGGTTGCTGAAGACCAGTTGTAATCCGGATGTTCATGGGTTGCTGAAGACCAGTTGTAACCCGGATGTTCATGGGTTGCTGAAGACCAGTTGTAACAAGGATGTTTATGGGTTGCTGAAGACCAGTTGTAACCCGGATGTTCATGGGTTGCTGAAGACCAGTTGTAACACGGATGTTCATGGGTTGCTGAAGACCAGTTGTAACACGGATGTTCATGGGTTGCTGAAGACCAGTTGTAACCCAGATGTTCATGGGTTGCTGAAGACCAGTTGTAACCCGGATGTTCATGGGTTGCTGAAGACCAGTTCTAACCCGGATGTTCATGGGTTGCTGAAGACCAGTTGTAACCCGGATGTTCATGGGTTGCTGAAGACCAGTTGTAACCCGGATGTTCATGGGTTGCTGAAGACCAGTTGTAACCCGGATGTTCATGGGTTGCTGAAGACCAGTTGTAACCCGGATGTTCATGGGTTGCTGAAGACCAGTTGTAACCCGGATGTTCATGGGTTGCTGAAGACCAGTTGTAACACGGATGTTCATGGGTTGCTGAAGACCAGTTGTAACACGGATGTTCATGGGTAGCTGAAGACCAGTTGTAACCCGGATGTTCATGGGTTGCTGAAGACCAGTTGTAACCCAGATGTTCATGGGTTGCTGAAGACCAGTTGTAACCCGGATGTTCATGGGTTGCTGAAGACCAGTTGTAACCCGGATGTTCATGGGTTGCTGAAGACCAGTTGTAACCCGGATGTTCATGGGTTGCTGAAGACCAGTTGTAACACGGATGTTCATGGGTTGCTGAAGACCAGTTGTAACCCAGATGTTCATGCGTTGCTGAAGACCAGTTGTAACACGGATGTTCATGGGTTGCTGAAGACCAGTTGTAACCCAGATGTTCATGGGTTGCTGAAGACCAGTTGTAACCCGGATGTTCATGGGTTGCTGAAGACCATGTCTAACCCGGATGTTCATGGGTTGCTGAAGACCAGTTGTAACACGGATGTTCATGGGTAGCTGAAGACCAGTTGTAACCCGGATGTTCATGGGTTGCTGAAGACCAGTTGTAAGACGGATGTTCATGGGTTGCTGAAGACCAGTTGTAACCCGGATGTTCATGGGTTGCTGAAGACCAGTTGTAACCTGGAAGTTCATGGGTTGCTGAAGACCAGTTGTAACACGGATGTTCATGGGTTGCTGAAGACCAGTTGTAACCTGGATGTTCATGGGTTGCTGAAGACCAGTTCTAACACGGATGTTCATGGGTTGCTGAAGACCAGTTGTAACCCGGATGTTCATGGGTTGCTGAAGACCAGTTGTAACACGGATGTTCATGGGTTGCTGAAGACCAGTTGTAACACGGATGTTCATGGGTAGCTGAAGACCAGTTGTAACCCGGATGTTCATGGGTTGCTGAAGACCAGTTGTAACCCAGATGTTCATGGGTTGCTGAAGACCAGTTGTAACCCGGATGTTCATGGGTTGCTGAAGACCAGTTGTAACCCGGATGTTCATGGGTTGCTGAAGACCAGTTGTAACCCGGATGTTCATGGGTTGCTGAAGACCAGTTGTAACACGGATGTTCATGGGTTGCTGAAGACCAGTTGTAACCCAGATGTTCATGCGTTGCTGAAGACCAGTTGTAACACGGATGTTCATGGGTTGCTGAAGACCAGTTGTAACCCAGATGTTCATGGGTTGCTGAAGACCAGTTGTAACCCGGATGTTCATGGGTTGCTGAAGACCATGTCTAACCCGGATGTTCATGGGTTGCTGAAGACCAGTTGTAACACGGATGTTCATGGCTAGCTGAAGACCAGTTGTAACCCGGATGTTCATGGGTTGCTGAAGACCAGTTGTAAGACGGATGTTCATGGGTTGCTGAAGACCAGTTGTAACCCGGATGTTCATGGGTTGCTGAAGACCAGTTGTAACCTGGAAGTTCATGGGTTGCTGAAGACCAGTTGTAACACGGATGTTCATGGGTTGCTGAAGACCAGTTGTAACCTGGATGTTCATGGGTTGCTGAAGACCAGTTCTAACACGGATGTTCATGGGTTGCTGAAGACCAGTTGTAACCCGGATGTTCATGGGTTGCTGAAGACCAGTTGTAACACGGATGTTCATGGGTTGCTGAAGACCAGTTCTAACACGGATGTTCATGGGTTGCTGAAGACCAGTTGTAACACGGATGTTCATGGGTTGCTGAAGACCAGTTGTAACCCGGATGTTCATGGGTTGCTGAAGACCAGTTCTAACACGGATGTTCATGGGTTGCTGAAGACCAGTTGTAACCCGGATGTTCATGGGTTGCTGAAGACCAGTTGTAACACGGATGTTCATGTGTAGCTGAAGACCAGTTGTAACCCAGATGTTCATGGGTTGCTGAAGACCAGTTGTAACACAGATGTTCATGGGTTGCTGAAGACCAGTTGTAACCCGGATGTTCATGGGTTGCTGAAGACCAGTTGTAACCCGGATGTTCATGGGTTGCTGAAGACCAGTTGTAACACGGATGTTCATGGGTTGCTGAAGACCAGTTGTAACCCGGATGTTCATGTGTAGCTGAAGACCAGTTGTAACACGGATGTTCATGGGTTGCTGAAGACCAGTTCTAACCCGGATGTTCATGGGTGGCCAATCTATATCAATGCAGAGTTTTCAGCATTTGGACCAGCGCCTTCTCCAATTGGAAACCCGCAGGTCGTGTAAAATTCACATCAACAAATTATCAGAGTTTGAAATGTGTTTAAGGTTCATGTCGGTGTTTATACTTTCTTATGCAATGAAGACCTAAATGACACTTGTTACATTTTCTCTAAAGTTACATTGACTCGATATTAAAATGAATGGATACTTACTTTATAGACATCGAAGTGTTCGATGATTGAATCAAACGTTGTATAGAGATCATTCAGCAAGTCTATCACCTACAACCAAGCACAGATCCTACAGTACAGTGAGGTAATTAATGGAATTAACGCATGGATTAATAAAGCCACAGGTACATAAAGACATTGTGTGTTTGTTTGTTTGTTGTTTAACGCAGCACTCAGCAATATTACAGCTATACGATGGTGGTCTGTAAATAATCGAGTCAGAAAATCCAGTGATTAACAACTATGACACAGTATACTGACTCCGAGCCCACCTGAACTTGTTCGATTTATCCCTTTAATACCGAGCACCAGGCGGGGTATCAATAAGTATAATCTTTTAATGTCTTTCCGTATGACGCGGCCGGGTATTGAAGCACCGATCATCCGCTATCTGGACATGGCTCTATACACCAGACCACGGAGTCGCTCTCCAGAATGATTGCTTTTTTTTGTTTAACGTCGCACTAAGCAATATTCCACCTATATGACGGCAGTCTGTAAATAACCATCCTGGACCAGACAATCCAGAGATTGACATCATGAGCATCGATCTACGCAAATAGGACATTCATCAACCAAGCCTGGTAGCCTGACCACCCGATCCCGTTTGTCGCCTCTTACGACAAGCATAGTTGACTGTGACTGCAAACAGGGGTTGATGAATGGTTATAGAGGCATTATATGGTTTTACCTGCATCGGCGTGCTCTCTGATGACAAGGCCGTGACAAGCATAGTTGACTGTGACTGCAAACAGGGGTTGATGAATGATTATAGAGGCATTATATGGTTTTACCTGCATCGGCGTGCTCTCCGATGACAACGCCGTGAAACCACAGATGTCGCTGAAGTAGATGGTCACTTCATCGTAGTTTTCCGCCTTGACCACCTCCCCCCTGATCAGCTGGCCCGCCACTGACCTGCAGCGAGAATAACGACATTCAGTGTGTGAAGCGGACGTAAAATACCCATAGCTTATTGTAATGGCTGATCTCGAAAATCATTTGCAATATCATTTGCCGGTCATGCTTGTATACAGGGTTTCGTTTCCTACATTTTCTGATATCGAACAAAAGTGCAAAATAAAAACAAATAAAAACGTGCCTCTCTGGTAGCAAAATTATATATTTTTCTTATTAATTTGATGTTTTAAATTCAAATATTTGTTTATTTTTTCGAAATTTCATATTTATTTCTTGTTTCTTAGATTATGTTTTCGTTATTTCGATTATTTTTTCGCATGTTCAATTTAATGATTTTTGTTAAATTGAAATTTCTATTTTTATTTTCGTCACTTCCAAATATTTTTGGTAATTTAGAATATTTTCTCAGTACTTCAACTATTTTCTCGTCAATTCAATTTTAATTTAAAAACTCCACATTTCGAGAAAAAATTGAATTTGTTAAAATAATAGAATTGAACAAAAAACTATAATAAAATTCAATTAAATTGAAATGAGAAAATAACCCAAATTATGTGGAAATAATGGAAGTAACGCGAAACATTTGACTATGACCTCTGTTCAGGACAACACCATGACGACCGGGTGTCCTGCTCCACCTACTTGGGCAGCATCATGTACAGCAGGTCCTCCGCCTTCTTCTTCTGCTCCAGGTAGTCGGCCGTCCTCTCCTCCACCAGAGCTTCCAGGTTGTTGGCGTACTGCTCCATGCGGGACAGCAGGTTGTCAAGGATGTTGCCCTTGTCTCCATCCCTGCAAGTAAGACGGCCACAGAGGCTGTTATTTCAGGTGGTTGGCGTACTGCTCCATGCGGGACAGCAGGTTGTCAAGGATGTTGCCCTTGTCTCCATCCCTGCAAGTAAGACGGCCACAGAGGCTGTTATTTCAGGTGGTTGGCGTACTGCTCCATGCGGGACAGAAGGTTGTCAAGGATGTTGCCCTTGTCTCCATCCCTGCAAGTAAGACGGCCACAGAGGCTGTTATTTCAGGTGGTTAAATGGTCCATGGGAAGGTAAGGGTTATATTAGTTGGTTGGTTGGTTGGTTTGTTGTTTAACACTGCACTCAGCAATATTCCAGCTATATGACGGCGTTCTGTGAATCCAGTGATTGAAATCATGAGCATCAATCCACGCAATTGGGATCGATGACATGCATCAACCGAGTCAGCGAGCCTGACCACCCGATCCCGTTAGTCACCTTTTACGACAAGCATAGTCACCTTTTACGGCAAGCATGGGTTGCTGAAGACCTATTCTACCCCGGAATCTTCACGGGTCTTTTTCAAGTGGCTAAATGGTCCATGGGAAGGTTATATTAAAAGAGTGTCACTGTACATCGTGCCTCAAATCTCAATTTATTGAGAGGGTGTGATTTATTCTTCTTCACAGACATGTTCCGTTTCTTGCATAAAGGGCGACGGAACAGTGTCCTGTGACATCATGGGAGAGACGAACTCATTATGCGACGGAACAGTGTCCTGTGACGTCATGGGAGAGACGAACTCATTATGCGATGGAACAGTGTCCTGTGACATCATGGGAGAGACGAACTCATTATGCGATGGAACAGTGTCCTGTGACGTCATGGGAGAGACGAACTCATTATGCGATGGAACAGTGTCCTGTGACGTCATGGGAGAGACGAACTCATTATGCGATGGAACAGTGTCCTGTGACGTCATGGGAGAGACGAACTCATTATGCGATGGAACAGTGTCCTGTGACGTCATGGGAGAGACGAACTCATTATATGGGTCTTCAACCCATTCGTGACGTAAAAGGCAACTATGCCTGCCGTAAGAGGCGACACACGGGTTCAGGTGGTCAGGCTCACTGACTTGGTTGATGCATGTCATCGTCTTCCAATTGCGAGGATAGATGCTCTTGATGTCAATCTTGGGATTGTCTGGTCAAGACTCGATTATTTACAGACCGTCGTCATATAGCTTGAATATTGCTGAGTGCGGCTTTAATAATAAACAAACAAACAAACAAACAAATCAACATACGGAAACACACAGGACACACACAACGAAGGATGCTGTATTATGTTTGAAAGGTGAAGGACATTTAAACCAGGAATAATCGTGGGAGAAGATTCTTCTCGCATCGGAGAGAAACGGCTGAGTGACTGCATGCTGTTCACGTAACTAATCACCTTTTACTGTGCGTAAGTGACGTTTATCGCCGTTTTAATTGAGTTCCATTTGAATCGCGATGTAAATGGTTAATGGAAACAGACATTGAGGGGACATTTTCACAAAGGGACTGTGTCGGTGCATCTGCCACCCACTGAAAAATTCTAATGCACAATAGAATAAATGTACTTGTCAAACACTGAATTGTTTTTTTATGTTGACATTCACAAAAGTAAAAAAGCGTACAGTTGTTAAACATGTTTTTAATATCATTATGTTTAAATTACGGCTGCTCAAAATAAAATTTTATATTTTCTCAGTCACGCGCTTTTATCCATCCATTCTTGATCATCAGACTGTATCATGTTTCACTACTGATGGCAAATTTGGACTTGTGGCTGATCGGAAAGTTCCACAACCGTTTAGTCAATTAGGGGCAAGACGTGTCACCTCGTCATGACTTCTCAGTCACACACTTTCATCCATCCATTCTTGATCATCAGACTGTATCATGTTTCACTACTGATGGCAAATTTGGACTTGTGGCTGATCGGGAAGTTCCACAACCGTTTAGTCAATTAGGGGCAAGACGTGTCACCTCGTCATGACAACACGTCTTCTCAAGAAAGCCGCTAATCAGCTCGTCTCCTTGGTCTGATGGGACCTCGGCCAGCACTGGCTAGAATCCATGATTGAACAAGGATGTTACAATGCACAAGACACCCTTACGACAGTCTCAAAGTGGAAAGTCGCGTTCAAGATCATGCTGCAGTTTACCATGGACACCCACTCAGACACAGTATTCTAACTCCGAGTCGACATGACCTTATATATATATATGACTGTAGTAAGGTGCTTCATATCACTGTAGTTAGGTGCCTCATATCACTGTTCAAACCCTTTTCTATTTGCTTTTGTCTTCAAATCAAAGTATGTACCTAATTTCTGTTTAGCAGTGTCGCCCGAGTGGATCTAAGTGATCCCTACCTGTTGAGTTTCCTGATGATTGACTTCAGCGCCGTGACGTCAGGCCTCTCCGCAGGGTCGTCTGCCCAACATCGCCGGATGACGTCAGCAAGCTCGTCACAAGGACAGTCATAATCCTCCAGTGTGGGTCGGAACAAGGGGCGACTACCCTTCTTCACCTTATCATGAATCTCTGCATTGGACAAGAACGAAGCAATTTTAATGCTGAAAATAGTGGTTATATAACTATGAGTTGAGGGGGCGTGAGACATACGACAGCTTACCTTGTGGTGAGAGATCCAAGCCTTGCTTCATCTATGGATGTTACATTGAAGAAAGGGTTGGGTGGAAGGGAAGATGCTGTGGTTGAGCGGGTGTAAGACATACAACAGCTTACCTTGTGGTGAGAGATCCAAGCCTCGGAGATGGAAAACCCCACTTCTGTATACGATCTCTTGACAGATGATAGCAAAGCTGTACACATCCGCCTTCTGACTGCCTTCCGGTGGCCGACACATCATGCGCAGAAGCTCGGGGGCCGTCCACAGCTTACCTGCAACGTGCGTTCTCAGGTGTATGTACGTTTGTTTGTTTGTTTGTTTGTTTAACGCCCCACTTAACAATATTCCAGCTCTATGACGGTGGTCTGTAAATAATCAAGTCTGAACCAGACAATCCCGTGATTGATATCATGAGCATCGATCTACGCAATTGGATACGATGACATGCATCAACCAGGTTGGCGAGTCTGACCACCCGATCCCGTTAGTCGCCTCTTTACGGCAAGCTTAACATGAATACCCCATACTGACCAGTTGCTTAAAGAAAACAACGACCACCTCCCAACGATTTGAAGGGATAAAATGTGAACTTTATTTTCTTTTTCGCCTAGCACACGGATATCTACGTTAGGATGTAGTGTCTATGTAGCGAATACGACTGTTAAGATTTTATATATATTATAGGAAATATTGACAATAACACTATCAGCGTGTTGTGGTGCCAGAGATGTACTGGTATTATGTCATGTATTAAATGTCGCACTCTGAAATGAGAAGACAGGCTCTCAGTTTACTCACTGTTATAAAACTGGTATTTGTTGTCCTCTTCGGCCACCTCGACATGGCGGAAATAGTGGAGGCCAAAGTCGGTGACCTTGACCACGAACCTGCTGTCCACCACGCAGTTGGTACTCTTCAGGTTGCCGTGACTCTTGACCTCACTACTGTGGAGGTAGGCGAGGCCCTGGGGGACAGAGGGAGAGAGGAATCAATGAGTTGTTAACGCCGTCGGGAACAGCATTTCAGCAACATCACGGCGTGTCACCTTGATGTGGGAGGAAAGCCCGAAGCAATGCAGTTCTTAGACGTTGACCAATTTAATGAAATATATGAGAAGGGGTATGGTACTGGCAAACCTCAAAACATCATCAGTGCGAACCAGGATTAAAACCTGCGATCATTAGTTTCTGGCACGCCAAAGGACACAACTCTGGGCCACCCGTGAGACGTGACCCATGAAAGGTGTTTTAGTGAATGTTTGATGCCCCAGTCAACGATGTTCCACCGATTAATTATTGAGAGAGAGAGAGAGAGAGAGAGACACAGAGAGAGAGATGGAGAGAGAGAGACACAGAGAGAGACAAAGAGAGAGAGAGAGAGATTAATACAATGTCAAAAAGTACCTGTTGAAAGTGTTTGAGTAAATGTTTGATGCCCCAGTCAACGATGTTCCACCAATTAATTATTCAGAGAGAGAGAGAGAGAGAGAGAGAGAGAGAGAGTAATACAATGTCAAAGAGTACCTGTATGTCAATGTTACCCAGAACAGTTCTCACCGAGGGACACAGGACACACGATGTGAGACAGCATGTGTCTGCGTGTGACTGACACAGTCATGTGACTACATGTGACTGACACAGTCATGTGGCTACATGTGACTGGCACAGTCATGTGACTACATGTGACTGCATTTGACTGACACAGTCATGTGACTACATGTGACTGTATGTGACTGACACTGTCATGTGACTACATGTGACTGGCAGTCATGTGACTGTGTGTGACTGCACGTGACTCACCCTGACTATGTCCTGCATAATGGAGTAGCGGAACATCCAGTCCAACTTGATCTCGTCATTCTCCAGAACGTCCTGGCGGATATAAGGCAACAGTGTTACAACATCCTGGACTGATGGTCAGTCTGCCACAAGCCGCCGAAACATCACAATAGTAGGATCTACGATGTCTACGTAAATACGCATTCGGTGTAGGAAAGTAGACGAGTACGACAGAGTAGCCAAACGTCCCTTAGTAGAAATCTAGAATTGTTTCCCCCGACGAATTATTGCCTTCATGGGCAGCATAATAGCAGATAAAACTATTTAACAAAGTTATATTTGGAATAACACTTTCTTGTAAAATACAATTGCAGCCACCGAGGCTTCCACTGAAAATAGAAGTCTGACAACTAAAAGTCTAGATCACCTACTTTGTGTACCCTTCTGATAAGTGCAGTTTGACACGGCTTCCACGACCGAAAGCTATGAAATACCGATAAACCTACTGTTCCGTTAATGTAAAACCGTTCATTACATTTGGGAATACAGACAGAAGATGTACAAGAGATGTTCTCGCAAGAACATACAGATATCTGAAGCCAAACAAATATGGGATACCTTAACGTGATCTCGTTGTTCCTTATTGACATGTCAACATTTCCTCAGGGGTATTAGATAAACACTATATGGAAACAAACAACGTTGTGTTACACTCTCAAGACACTGCCCACAACAACTACAGAATATATTTGTTAATGTGTTAATGACTTTTGCATCACCATGATCGCTGTTCTGCAGAATTGTTAAAAAATACAATACTTATTTAACTGAACCTTAAAATCTTAAAATCTCAGCATTCTTCATTTTCTATCATTTAAGAATGGAAAAAATGTCGCTTTTTTCCAAATAGTCTAAAAAACGAAACCTTGTTATCCTGGATGTTTCTGTTACCGATGAAATCATCCTTATTTGCAAGTAAACGGATAAACGAATCTCGTTTCTCCCTGTGCACATAAAAAAAAAACACTTGTAAAAACACTTTTCCAGATTTTCCAGATTAGCTGGTGTCCCCTTTAATGCCATTCTCATCCTGACCTGCTACTGCAACATACCTGCAGACTCCCTTTTGGGCAGTACTCTGATAGGATGCATTGGTTCGGCACGTCAATGCATATCCCAACAAATCTGACAATGTGGTCATTCTGTAAATCCTTGATCTGAAAGGGAATCGTCCATAAATATACAGAATATATACATAAAAGAAATCTCGCGCTATAACTCATGACAACAATAATACGTACTGTCAAGTGTTGTAATTGACCTGATGTTTACTGGCGTAATGAGTAAACGTGAGTTTCATGTATCTGTATACGATTCTGCTGAGGAAAAGTAACTCTTTGATTTGTCATTCAGGGAAACAGTATACTGGGGAATAACTATACACACTCATACAGTTTATACATAATTTGTTGGAACTCGTTGTATGTATGATTCTGAAATATAAGATATTATGTGTGTGGTGCAGTGATATCTTCTTGCCTCATTGTCTCTGAAGATTCATCAGTATTCACAGAAACACCAATTTCTTCATCAATGCATCAACTATACACACTCATACAGTTTATACATAATTTGTTGGAAAACGTAAGTATGATTCTGAAATATAAGATATTATGTGTGTGGTACAGTTATGTCTTCTTGCCCCATTGTCTCTGAAGATTCATCACTATATACAGAAACACCAATCTCTGCGTGACTGCATCATTTTGTTTTTATTCATGATACACGTTTATGATCATATTAGTTTCTACAATTTAATCTAACTAATCTATCTAAAGAGAGTACAAAAGAGCATTACTTTCTATTTCTTAATTGGTTCACATTTACAGTGTTATATAGCGCACATTTAGCATCACTGTCACAGACGTTAGCTGCACGGTTTCACCTGTCAGTTTCATCAACATGATTTCAAAATACGATCAATTCAATTATTTCTTGTGTGGAAGCAGTTTTGAGAAAAGTGACTAAGATGTCATTGAAAATGTCAGTCTCTTCATCACTCTACCACGCGTTGCGGCGCCATGTTAATCTGACGTCCAGTGGAACAGTATGACGTTATAAAAATGACGTTATTAAAATGGCGTCTACTTCGGAACAGAACGTTGCTTCATTTTCTCAAGCCTGGGCACATTAATTGTTTGATAGGCATTATATATTATTATCTCTACTTGGGCACATTAAGCTTATTTAGGATATTTAAGTATTATGGTGAACATTTTGGGATAATTTTCAGTGATTTATTCATATTTGTTCACCGATATTTTGCCTTTATTATCCAATGGAATCTGCTTCGGTAGATAATTGAGGCTGGTTATTCTCTGGAGCTGAAGTTATTACTTTCAAAGAAAACATTATTAAAAATACTTATTGAAACATATTGAAACATACCGAGGCCAAATCACTTGTCACTCCTAGAATGTGTATGCAGCAATCTAGGTGTGACAAACACGGCACATTTTGTAGATAACAACTTCTTTAATATAGTATGTAATATTTAATATAGTATATAGTTCCGGTACAGATCGTTATATCGTTGTCAAACACAGCGTGATGTAGGAGGTGACTCAACCCAACCAGTGATCAGGTTCTGTGATTCGGGTAGGAGTGGATCGTTGCTCGCCATGTCGATAGAGGCAACTAACGGTATCGGGTGACTACATTGATACATGTCATCGTATCCCTATTGTTTACAAACTGCCGTCATGTAGCTGGAACATTGCTGAGAGCCGCGTTAAACAACAAACAAACAAATAAAACAGTTTCGTGATTCCGTTTGCGGTCATAATGCTATTGTAGAAAGAAGAATGATACACTCACTTGAATTCAATTTAGAGGAATCAAACACCAACAATTAGCAAGTGTTTACTTTCGTGGTAAATCTGCTAAAAGATATCCGTTATTGTACTAACTGTGTTAAACGAAAGCACAGCAGGTTGACCTCCCAATATGTAATGTACCGTTACAATAGTAATGATTCCATATATCCACCTGCCACTTTAAAAACAAGATACCGGGCAAACGAAAAGTATACACTTGAAAACTAGATTTGACAAAAACATTACAACCGTTCTTTAAGCGTTCCTTGGCTGATAACAGTCGCCGAAACTCTACAAAGATAAGGTTCAAAACACAACGATGATATGATATCAAATACATCACCATGGAATAACCAATTCTGGTGTGTTTCCTTTCTAGCCACCATTATCAAATGAGTGTCTACTTTCTTTTGTCCGTCAGTTTATATAAAAAGGGTTCTGTCAGCTCAACGAAGTTGCATCATATTTAGCTGTCATATATACTCGTAGTTTTATATAGTTATAAGACAGACATCATCTGATACAGTTCATGAAAATGTTTTCAGTACCTTGATTAAATTGACAAATTCCGATAAAATGGGAGAAATGCTCAGAATATTGTTTTAATATCATCAGATAACATTTTGGACTCGTAACACGACAAAGTTGATATTTGAAGATATATATTGTCTGCTCGGGGCAGGTCATTAGATGAGATCAACATGATGTTTGACGAAACATCATCCATTAATGACTGTTTCCATAGTAACGCGTTTCCATAATAACGAGATTTTCAAACAACGCGGCACATGGAAAGTATTCATGTAACGTGATTTAGGTGTGACAGCCATCCTTCAAATATCTCAGTCAACACAATTTGACCGTGTTTCTGACAAAATAACATTCATTGTACGTAATGGATAAGTTATGTTCTCCATCAATGTATCGATGTCACCGTCATGGTCACAAGGTGGCTTTAAATTTTACTTTGACATCGAAAGTATGGACAGACCAACATATCCTGATGTGAGTTGCTTTCAATGCCGCTAAGATGTAGGGGAAAGACTTGAAGTGAGTCAAGTCGTAGACATTTCCCAGATAAGTTTGTTTGTTTGTTTACAAAACGCCGAACTCTCCCATATTCCAACTTTAAGATGACGGATGTACCTAATCGAGTCTAAACCGGTCAAACCATTGAAGGATATTATGAACAACATCCAAAGCCGTTGTGGTTCAATGAAATCACGATGAGTGAGTGAGTGAGTGAGTGAGTGAGTGGGTGGGTGGGTGAGTGAGTGGGTGGGTGGGTGAGTGGGTGGGTGGGTGTGTGGGTGGATGGGTGGGTGGGTGAGTGAGTGAGTGAGTGAGTGGGTGGGTGGGTGGGTGGGTGGTTGAGTGAGTGAGTGAGTGAGTGAGTGAGTGAGTGAGTGAGTGAGTGAGTGAGTGAGTGAGTGAGTGAGTGAGTGAGTGAGTGAGTGAGTGAGTGAGTGAGTGAGTGAGTGAGTGAGTGAGTGAGTGAGTGAGTGAGTGAGTGAGTGAGTGAAGCTTTGTGCCGCTTTTAGCAATATTCCTTAGCAATACTCCAGCAATATCATGGAAAATGGGCTTCACACATTATTTGGGGAATCGAACCCGGGTCTTCGGCGTGACGAGCCAACACTTTAACCACCAGGCTACCTCACCGCCCCTCACCGAGACTGACCCCCTGATCCAGCTAGTCATGGTCATGGTCATGTGGTACGACCGGCATTGGTTTCTGGGGATCATGCATGTACCAACAACTTAGCTGCACTCAAACAATCAGTGGATAATGCATGTACCAGCCACTTAGCTGCACTCCAACAATCAGTGGATCCTGGCATAAACAAGGGACGTAACTCTGCCCTGTGGATTGCGACAACTTAGAGCACTGCACCAACCGTTTCCGCGAACAGTTGTTAAAGATAGCCTCAGGATGACATATTAAACTGACATAGTACCCATGTAATTTTATATTCTTCTTTTTGCTTCAATAAAATACCTAGATATCTCATTACAGACAGACGGAAAAGATTAATTTGATGAAACCGATATAGTGCTTTCGTGAAAATTTAATTAAATAGGTAATTGCTTGAAATTCTACAATTTAATGTGTCTTTCCTTTGTAGTTGGACATCACAGAGTGTACTGGATTGTATCTGATCATGCTACACAACGTAAACAAGTGATGAAAGGTCACTACTTTATTTCATATTATGAAATTAGGATAAATTGTCAAGCTGTTAAAGTCCGGCAGAGATGAAGGAAAATATGAACATATAGACCTGAGGGAGATTGTGTCATTTCTGGAGAGATTAACGCCACATTTAGCAATACCCCACCTATATCACAGCGGTCGGTAAATAATCGAGACATGCAAACCAGTGATTGATATTATGAACAACGCCCCATGCCTCGCATACGAAGACACGCAATGAACCACGTCATCAATCCGACCCTGTAGTATTCATCATACTTTAGTTTGGGGTCGAAATAGACGTAAAACTAGACCTTTTTTATTTAAAACAATCGGTATGACTGGAACTGGAATTTGACTTCATCTTACATTACTTTCCACACTTTTTGTGGTCTGGATCGTAAAACCAAACTTTTATGTCACTCCATAAGAAATAAACTATCAACATGCTGCAGCATTACATAGATATGTCTGTTACAGAATACATTTGAACTTGTATGTAGAAAGGGTGTGCTCAGTCTTCTCTATACAAAACATCCCCACAATATTCCTGATCCATATTTGTGTGTTCACACTTTTCTGAAAAATGTCATTATGAAACAGTTACTAATCAAACTGCCAGTGATCAATCAAAAGGAGGGACTTGCCAAATGGTATTCTCACAAACATCCACAATACCTACATCACTACAGCATCACTCACCCTCTTGATCTCTAGAAGGAGGGGCTTGCCCAATGTTATTCTCACAGACATCCACAAGACCTACATCACTACAGCATCACTCACCCTCTTGATCTCCAGGAGGAGGGGCTTGCCCAATGTTATTCTCACAGACATCCACAATACCTACATCACTACAGCATCACTCACCCTCTTGATCTCCAGAAGGAGGGGCTTGCCCAATGTTATTCTCACAGACATCCACAAGACCTACATCACTACAGCATCACTCACCCTCTTGATCTCCAGAAGGAGGGGCATGCCCAATGTTATTCTCACAGACATCCACAAGACCTACATCACTACAGCATCACTCACCCTCTTGATCTTCAGGAGGAGGGGCTTGCCCAATGTTATTCTCACAGACATCCACAAGACCTACATCACTACAGCATCACTCACCCTCTTGATGTCCAGGAGGAGGGGCTTGCCCAATGTTATTCTCACAGACATCAACAAGACCTACATCACTACAGCATCACTAACCCTCTTGATCTCCAGGAGGAGGGGCTTGCCCAATGTTATTCTCACAGACATCCACAAGACCTACATCACTACAGCATCACTCACCCTCTTGATCTCCAGGAGGATTGGCTTGCCCAATGTTATTCTCACAGACATTCACAAGACCTACATCACTACAGCATCACTCACCCTCTTGATCTCCAGAAGGAAGGGCTTGCCCAATGTTATTCTCACAGACATCCACAAGACCTACATCACTACAGCATCACTCACCCTCTTGATCTCCAGAAGGAGGGGCATGCCCAATGTTATTCTCACAGACATCCACAATACCTACACCACTTCAGCATCACTCACCCTCTTGATCTCCAGAAGGAGGGGCTTGCCCAATGTTATTCTCACAGACATCCACAAGACCTACACCACTACAGCATCACTCACCCTCTTGATGTCCAGGAGGAGGGGCTTGCCCAATGTTATTCTCACAGACATCCACAAGACCTACATCACTACAGCATCACTCACCCTCTTGATCTCCAGAAGGAGGGGCATGCCCAATGTTATTCTCACAGACATCCACAATACCTACACCACTTCAGCATCACTCACCCTCTTGATCTCCAGAAGGAGGGGCTTGCCCAATGTTATTCTCACAGACATCAACAAGACCTACATCACTACAGCATCACTCACCCTCTTGATCTCCAGGAGGAGGGGCTTGCCCAATGTTATTCTCACAGACATCCACAATACCTACATCACTACAGCATCACTCACCCTCTTGATCTCCAGAAGGAGGGGCATGCCCAATGTTATTCTCACAGACATCCACAAGACCTACACCACTTCAGCATCACTCACCCTCTTGATCTCCAGAAGGAGGGGCTTGCCCAATGTTATTCTCACAGACATCCACAAGACCTACATCACTACAGCATCACTCACCCTCTTGATCTCCAGGAGGAGGGGCTTGCCCAATGTTATTCTCACAGACATCCACAAGACCTACATCACTACAGCATCACTCACCCTCTTGATCTCCAGAAGGAGGGGCATGCCAAATGTTATTCTCACAGACATCCACAATACCTACACCACTTCAGCATCACTCACCCTCTTGATCTCTAGAAGGAGGGGCTTGCCCAATGTTATTCTCACAGACATCCACAAGACCTACACCACTTCAGCATCACTCACCCTCTTGATCTCCAGAAGGAGGGGCTTGCCCAATGTTATTCTCACAGACATCCACAAGACCTACATCACTACAGCATCACTCACCCTCTTGATCTCCAGGAGGAGGGGCTTGCCCAATGTTATTCTCACAGACATCCACAAGACCTACATCACTACAGCATCACTCACCCTCTTGATCTCCAGAAGGAGGGGCATGCCAAATGTTATTCTCACAGACATCCACAATACCTACACCACTTCAGCATCACTCACCCTCTTGATCTCCAGAAGGAGGGGCTTGCCCAATGTTATTCTCACAGACATCCACAAGACCTACATCACTACAGCATCACTCACCCTCTTGATCTCCAGGAGGAGGGGCTTGCCCAATGTTATTCTCACAGACATCCACAATACCTACATCACTACAGCATCATTCACCCTCTTGATCTCCAGGAGGAGGGGCATGCCCAATGTTATTCTCACAGACATCCACAATACCTACATCACTACAGCATCACTCACCATCTTGATCTCCAGGAGGAGGGGCTTGCCCAATGTTATTCTCACAGACATCAACAAGACCTACATCACTTCAGCATCACTCACCCTCTTGATCTCCAGGAGGAGGGGCTTGCCCAATGTTATTCTCACAGACATCCACAAGACCTACATCACTACAGCATCACTCACCCTCTTGATCTCCAGAAGGAGGGGCTTGCTGATGCCAATACTCGTTCTTTCCACCAGCTTCACCGCAATAATCGCTCCCTGAAAAGCAAACTATGTAATCAATATTGATTCACTTTAACATTTATCAAACATCTTTCTCACTAGGCTCACTTCTTATTCCCGTAGGCGAGTTTAGATAAATATGAGAAACTCTGCCATGGCATTTACAGCTGGAATTCAAGTTCGTGTTACATATTTGTGCTATGAACGGTCCAGCTGTCATATATGAGTAGATAGGAATTCGAAATGAATTTTCTAATTGAGTTTACTTCAAGAGTTCTCAATGATAACACTGAGATAAAATATGTCCAGTGTCTAGTTCTGTCTACACTCGCTCCTGCATATGTCAAAACATATGTTAGAAACACTGTAGCTCACCTGACAGTATCAATGGATATGTTTGGAGAGCTGTAGCTAACCAGATATTACACATGCATACGTTAAGAGCACTGTAGCTCACCTGACAGTATCAATGGATATGTTTGGAGAGCTGTAGCTAACCAGATATTACACATGCATACGTTAAGAGCACCGTAGCTCACGTGACAGTATCAATGGATATGTTTGGAGAGCTGTAGCTAACCAGATATTACACATGCATACGTTAAGAGCACCGTAGCTCACGTGACAGTATCAATGGATATGTTTGGAGAGCTGTAGCTAACCAGATATTACACATGCATACGTTAAGAGCACCGTAGCTCACCTGACAGTATCAATGGATATGTTTGGAGAGCTGTAGCTAACCAGATATTACACATGCATACGTTCAGAGCACCGTAGCTCACGTGACAGTATCAATGGATATGTTTGGAGAGCTGTAGCTAACCAGATATTACACATGCATACGTTAAGAGCACCGTAGCTCACGTGACAGTATCAATGGATATGTTTGGAGAGCTGTAGCTAACCAGATATTACACATGCATACGTTAAGAGCACCGTAGCTCACGTGACAGTATCAATGGATATGTTTGGAGAGCTGTAGCTAACCAGATATTACACATGCATACGTTAAGAGCACCGTAGCTCATCTGACAGTATCAATGGATATGTTTGGAGAGCTGTAGCTAACCAGATATTACACATGCATACGTTAAGAGCACCGTAGCTCACCTGACAGTATCAATGGATATGTTTGGAGAGCTGTAGCTAACCAGATATTACACATATATACGTTAAGAGCACCGTAGCTCACGTGACAGTATCAATGGATATGTTTGGAGAGCTGTAGCTAACCAGATATTACACATATATAGTTGAGAGCACCGTAGCTCACGTGACAGTATCAATGGATATGTTTGGAGAGCTGTAGCTAACCAGATATTACACATGCATACGTTAAGAGCACCGTAGCTCACCTGACAGTATCAATGGATATGTTTGGAGGGCTGTAGCTAACCAGATATTACACATATATACGTTAAGAGCACCGTAGCTCACGTGACAGTATCAATGGATATGTTTGGAGAGCTGTAGCTAACCAGATATTACACATATATAGTTGAGAGCACCGTAGCTCACGTGACAGTATCAATGGATATGTTTGGAGAGCTGTAGCTAACCAGATATTACACATATATAGTTGAGAGCACCGTAGCTCACGTGACAGTATCAATGGATATGTTTGGAGAGCTGTAGCTAACCAGATATTACACATGCATACGTTAAGAGCACCGTAGCTCACCTGACAGTATCAATGGATATGTTTGGAGAGCTGTAGCTAACCAGATATTACACATATATACGTTAAGAGCACCGTAGCTCACGTGACAGTATCAATGGATATGTTTGGAGAGCTGTAGCTAACCAGATATTACACATATATAGTTGAGAGCACCGTAGCTCACGTGACAGTATCAATGGATATGTTTGGAGAGCTGTAGCTAACCAGATATTACACATATATAGTTGAGAGCACCGTAGCTCACGTGACAGTATCAATGGATATGTTTGGAGAGCTGTAGCTAACCAGATATTACACATATATAGTTAAGAGCACCGTAGCTCACGTGACAGTATCAATGGATATGTTTGGAGAGCTGTAGCTAACCAGATATTACACATATATAGTTGAGAGCACCGTAGCTCACGTGACAGTATCAATGGATATGTTTGGAGAGCTGTAGCTAACCAGATATTACACATATATAGTTGAGAGCACCGTAGCTCACGTGACAGTATCAATGGATATGTTTGGAGAGCTGTAGCTAACCAGATATTACACATATATAGTTGAGAGCACCGTAGCTCACGTGACAGTATCAATGGATATGTTTGGAGAGCTGTAGCTAACCAGATATTACACATGCATACGTTAAGAGCACCGTAGCTCACGTGACAGTATCAAAGGATATGTTTGGAGAGCTGTAGCTAACCAGATATTACACATATATAGTTGAGAGCACCGTAGCTCACGTGACAGTATCAATGGATATGTTTGGAGAGCTGTAGCTAACCAGATATTACACATATATAGTTGAGAGCACCGTAGCTCACGTGACAGTATCAAGGGATATGTTTGGAGAGCTGTAGCTAACCAGATATTACACATGCATACGTTAAGAGCACCGTAGCTCACGTGACAGTATCAATGGATATGTTTGGAGAGCTGTAGCTAACCAGATATTACACATATATAGTTGAGAGCACCGTAGCTCACGTGACAGTATCAATGGATATGTTTGGAGAGCTGTAGCTAACCAGATATTACACATATATAGTTGAGAGCACCGTAGCTCACGTGACAGTATCAATGGATATGTTTGGAGAGCTGTAGCTAACCAGATATTACACATATATAGTTGAGAGCACCGTAGCTCACGTGACAGTATCAATGGATATGTTTGGAGAGCTGTAGCTAACCAGATATTACACATGCATACGTTAAGAGCACCGTAGCTCACCTGACAGTATCAATGGATATGTTTGGAGAGCTGTAGCTAACCAGATATTACACATATATAGTTGAGAGCACCGTAGCTCACGTGACAGTATCAATGGATATGTTTGGAGAGCTGTAGCTAACCAGATATTACACATATATAGTTGAGAGCACCGTAGCTCACGTGACAGTATCAATGGATATGTTTGGAGAGCTGTAGCTAACCAGATATTACACATATATAGTTGAGAGCACCGTAGCTCACGTGACAGTATCAAAGGATATGTTTGGAGAGCTGTAGCTAACCAGATATTACACATATATAGTTGAGAGCACCGTAGCTCACGTGACAGTATCAATGGATATGTTTGGAGAGCTGTAGCTAACCAGATATTACACATATATAGTTGAGAGCACCGTAGCTCACGTGACAGTATCAATGGATATGTTTGGAGAGCTGTAGTTAACCAGATATTACACATGCATACATTAAGAGCACCGTAGCTCACGTGACAGTATCAATGGATATGTTTGGAGAGCTGTAGCTAACCAGATATTACACATATATAGTTGAGAGCACCGTAGCTCACGTGACAGTATCAATGGATATGTTTGGAGAGCTGTAGCTAACCAGATATTACACATATATAGTTGAGAGCACCGTAGCTCACGTGACAGTATCAATGGATATGTTTGGAGAGCTGTAGCTAACCAGATATTACACATATATAGTTGAGAGCACCGTAGCTCACGTGACAGTATCAATGGATATGTTTGGAGAGCTGTAGCTAACCAGATATTACACATATATAGTTGAGAGCACCGTAGCTCACGTGACAGTATCAATGGATATGTTTGGAGAGCTGTAGCTAACCAGATATTACACATATATAGTTGAGAGCACCGTGGTTAGAAATAAATGGTTAGACCAGTGCTTTCATGTTCATACAGATTGATATCCACATTTTACACAATATGGTGTCTAAATTCTTTATTTCAGAATAAAGGCCATAGGCCCACGTACAAATACTCATTGAAAAATACAGTATGAGGCAGATGACAAAGGGTATTAAGTGACAGTATTTCGGATTGCAAGTGCTTCCAGTATATACTTAACACAATTAGTTACAATACTAGTGCGGTTACAAGATAATAGTGTATTATATTTAAATAAGGTAGAATTGGAAGAGTAATAAATAGGTAAATACTTATTTCTTAAATATCTGTAACATGGGCAGACAAGCATGAAATGAAACTCATCTTCAATTTCCTTTAAATTACAATATCTGCACTGCCTATTACAGTACTCTATACAGCATCTTCTACCTAAATTTACCATCAATGGCAACTCGCCAATTCTTAACAAACAAAACATACGTCTATAATGACGGCCTGTGATTTCACAGAGATACTTTTCAACTGTTAGCAATGACTTATATTCCTTATACATTGATAATTTACGTATTTCACAAACTTTACAATACCAGTCCTGTTGGTTACAGTCTTTTAACCTTTGAATAAATGCATTAATAAAGAGGGTCTCATTACCAACTTCCTGCGAAATCCACACATGGCCAAATCCATAACTGAATAATAGTCTTTTGACACAAGTTACCCATGTAGTGCGATTAACTTCATCCAAAGATTTCAGCATTAAATAACATTGTCTAAATGTATGTTATTAATAAATGGTTAGACCAGTGCTTTCATGTTTTTAATAATAATATGACAATTTGTGCAGAATTGATACTTTTCTGGGGTTAAAGAGAACATAAAAACTGATAAAGTGTTATACTTACTTTTACTTATTGCAAAATTCCATATTTATAGATGCAAATTAAAAAAACACACCTCATTTTCATGTTTATAAAAAGGAAGCTTTTTCACGATACAACATTAAAAAAGATATTGCTTTCAGGACAGGGAATCGGCAGAAATTCTATGGTGCTTGGATGCTGTATCATAAACTCTTCGAAAATGAGGAGCAGCTGTCATTTTCATTTTAGTTTTTTACTTAAGACTTTAATGTTTGGGATCATGTACTTCCCATCACTGCTGTATGATATATAAACTTGAATGGTTTATGCAGTATGTTTCTATTACGAGAGTGAATGTGTGAGTGAGAAGTTTGTTATTTTCTGTAAAACACTAAGAT